CAGCAAAGGGCTGGTAAATATTGCTCTTGCAAGATTATTTCCTATGTGTCTCAGTCCAAAGCACCTGAAAATGAGATTTTTCCCCCTGCATGTGGCAGAAGCTCACCCAGACATGAAGGCTATATCACCAATCTGCTCCTAGGCCCCCAAATCACACTGCACATCTCGCCTGAAATAGACAAGAATTTATAGAGCTCTTAATAAGGGAGAATGTGCCATCCTAGAAAAACCTCACAGAGAACCCAGAAAGCAAGAAAACCATTTTTGAGCGAAAAAAAAATAATAGCCACGATGTTATTTCCATTTAATAGAAAGCCCAGGATGACAGTAACCATCTAATAACAATTCAGAACAATTTTGCCCTCTTTGAAAGACAGATCCAATTGTCTCTTATTTATGTGTTCCTAACCATCCCGTTTACCGCAAAATAAAACTTAAATCTGATCCTAACTATTACATTGTTATGGGAACCAATGCTGGAAGACTTAGGCTGTGGGATAAAATACATTACAATTATTAAAATTCCGTCTCCCTCTCTTTCCCGTCTGGCCCCTCCCCACACATCATGCACCTGCCCCCAGTAGCCCTGGGCCAGTGGGGAGAGCATTCAGGTGGAATCTGGAGGCTTAGATTTGCACTCCAAAAAAAAAAATAAAAATCAGGTGAAATGATTCTGGGGGATGAACTGACAGGATTTGCCAGCCGCGCCCTGCCACCCACAGCAGAATGTCTGCACGTATTTCTTTCCCATACCCATGAGGAGGCAACTTCTCCCCCGAGAACCTCATCGGGCACCCATCTATGGGACATCCTTCCATTTCGAGTGGCAGTATTTGTGCCTGGGCCCCTGTCTTACAAACCTGTTTTGATGCTGCTTTTCCCACATACCAGCTGTGGGGTCTTGGATAAGATTCTCAACCTCTCTGAGCCTTGATTTCCTTTGCTGTAAAACTAGGGAAAGTCATAGGTTGTAAGGAGTAAATTACTCTCGGTCAGGCACTTATTACACTGCTTGGC